AAGACAATAAAAACATGATAACATAATAAAAAACATGATTTTTGAAAATTTTAATAAACGGAGTTATCCGTTTTTTCAAATAAACTCTTCATATATTTTTATACTTTAGAAATGAACTTTTTACTTCAAAATTCAAAAATTTCTACTTCACTTTTATGTCAGTGTGCCAAGCATTTACTATTAAATCTACTACTAATTTCTGAGTGAAAATTGTTCTACATACATTTTTGTTCATTGCACTCTGCATGAAGTTTGATTTGTGCTCACCGTGGCTTTAGGGATCTGACGGTTTGTGCTGGAAGGATCTGTTGAGGATCAAGAGCCCTCATAAGCTGCTCTACGCTTTAGAAATCATAGAGGCCCTCGGCAAACCCAACCGCAGGATTCACCGCGAGTCTACGGTACACGTCCAGATTCACACGCACACATGCGGTCCTGCAGATCTGTAAATGTCCTGTCTCTTGAAACACGTGTGTGTTTGTGTTTCAGGGCAGTTACAGTGATCTGTATCCAGACTCTGACGACTCCAGTGAGGAACAGATCGAGAACAGCAAGAACACTTGGAGCTGTAAGGTACAAACTCCTCCTCTTACACTTCCACTGAAAATCATCTGTTGTTATTGTGTATTCACATATGAACTAGGTAACTATACTCGTTTGAACACCAAATTTATGGGTTTTGGTGAAACTATTGTGCGATTTGTAGTTGTTAACCTGTATGTTTGAGTCCATGTGCTCTGTATAGTGTGTATTAGAGCTGAATGACAGACTGCACCTGTGTCTCTCCTGTAGTTTGTGTCGTCTGGAGGTCTTCAGCTTCTGCTGGACATTTTTAACTCTGCAATTTTAGAGCCGAAAGAGCAAGAATCCTGGACTGTGGTGAGTGTCACGAACACATCGGTGTCATATAACGTTTGCAAGGGCTTTGTTCTTCTTTCCTTTTGACTTTGGACTGAAGTAAGTCCAGGACATGTTCTTTTCCGCAGCTCTGCCGTCAGTTGGACAGCTGTGGATATCATGTGTCTTCTCTTCTCTCTCTGCAGTGGTTGTTGGACTGTCTCGCGTGTCTGCTGAAGCTCATTTGTCAGTTCGCGGTGGATCCGGCCGATCTGGACCTGGCCTATCATGATGTTTTCGCCTGGTCTGGTCTCACGGACACACAGAGGAAGAGGGTGTGGCCAGGGAAGTCCCGCAAAGCCGCGGGGGATCATGGGAAGGGCCTGCATATACCTCGTCTCACAGAGGTGTGAAACTGCTTCTAAATGGATTTTTCTCTGCGTATGCTTGCTTTTTTCTAAATGTTGTGATTGTCTTCTCTGTCAGGTTTTCCTAAGTCTTGTGCAAGGCACCAACCTCATCCAGCGGCTCATCAACGTGACCTACACATACGACAATCTGGCGCACAGGTGAATAACATGTGCAAACACTCCGTTTCATTTACTTTTTTTATTTGCTTACAATTTTTCTGTTTTTTTTTTATAACCCTTCTGTCTTGTGATTATCCTGCAGGGTTTTGAAGGCCCAATCAGATCACAGATCCAGACACGAGGGTAAGCACATCATTGGTTATATATCTGTGCACGTTTCTACTTTTCTGTCATTATTGGTGATGTTTGATTAATATTTATTCTTAATAATGTTCATGCAGTGACTCATTACTCCATGTGGCTGCTGGTGAGCTGGGCTCACTGCTGTTCTCTGGTGAAATCCAGCCTGGCTGATAGGGAACATCTGCACGACTGGCTCAAGAAGCTCACGCTGCTCATACCTGAGGTAAACGAATGAATGTCTTGATTTGATCCATTTATGAAATTAATTCTATTGATTAAGGTCGCGTAGTAGGGCTGTCAAAATGGCTGAAAAACGGAATTAGAATTTTGTACTTAAATATTATCAATTGTGCTGGGTAACGATTAATCGCATCCAAAATAAAAGTTTTGTTTACATAATATATGTGTGCGTACTGTGTATATTTATTATGTATATATAAATACACACACATGAATGTAAATATTTAAGAAAAATATATGTTTATATATTAAATATATTTATATATAATATAAATTAGATGAATATAAATATATACATGTAAAAATTTTCTAAATATATTCTGTATGTGTGCGTCTTTATATACATAATAAATATACACAGTACGCACACATATATTATGTAAACAAATCTAGCAAAATATTACTAAATATTATTACTAAAATATTACTAATGCACGTTTCTTCAAAGCAATAAAATAACACGACTACCTTTGAAACAAGTGCATAATGTATAAATTAATGTTTATAAATCATATATAATTAATTAAGTTACTTAAAAATTAGAAACAAAACAGCATCATGTTTGTATGTATAGTTTAATACAAAGGACCGAAAACCAATCACAAAGAGTACTTTTTCATTTAAAAACATGAGATGCAGTGGGATGGGGAAAACCGCCATAAAGTCTTGAGACATGTTTTTAAAAGTTGAACTTGCATTAATTTTACATGACTTTCTAAACATGCGGCTCTCTTGTGCGAGACGCGAGTGCAACG